TGAGGAAAAGCTCTTGCGGTGCTTTTCGTAAGAGTGTATGCGTCATACAATGGCGTATACACTATGATTTCTAGATTGTCAGAAGTTGAAGCCACCCAATCCTACTAACTCGTCCATTTACAATAGTGTTTGTAGAGGCATTTGGGATGATTTGATTATGGACATTGTTTTCAGACTGCGAAAAGTCAAGGACCAGGACAAAGTGTACTTTGTCCTTGGCGGAATAAGCAAGCAAGTCCATTCCATCCCTTGCACCAGTTCTGTCACGGTTCGCTCAGTCAATCAAAAATTCTTTGGTCATATTTGGACTCTTCACAGCCTTTTAAAGGATCATCACCACGGAGAGCTATCTAAAGTTCGCTACGGCTCTTTGGCTTGCCTTTATGACTCGCCTATATGCTGGCTATAGTATGACAGATGCGAACCACCCTGAGGCAGATGGACAGAGAAAGTGTGCCAACGACACTCATTCAACGGTGCGTTTTGCAGGTGTACGCGTACAAGAACCCAATTACTTGGCTTAAACTTCTTCCTGGTGCTGAATGAGCTCACAACAGAACATTGCACCGGTTCAGGCGTTGCTTTTCGGTATCGCTGCTCCACGCTGAGTAGCCCCTTTCCGATTCATGCCTGAAACTTGTGATCCATGTTAAGTAGCAGCCTTTGCTTGCAGGGAAGCTCATAGAACAGCTGGCTTGTGCACGAAAATGTATGTGTAGGGATAAGGAGAGACAAACATAGAACTGTGATAAATGAGTGTGGGCTGCGTGTTTTACGCCTGACAATTGACCCAGGTCGTTTCACAGGCTTGACAGAATGCATTAGAAGGTCTTTTAACGAATAAGAGTGTGGACAACTGACTACGGCCATCTGCGATTCTCCAACAAATCAATGCCTACTCTCTCGATTTCCCCTCTAGTGGGAGGTGCCACATGACTCTCAACATTGGATTCCTAAATAGTTAACAAAACGCTCAGGATTGTTCTCAGGCTTTGCTGCTCATATAATTGGCCTAGGCCGATGCGGAGGATCTATAGAGACCCGTTGAAGCGCTGGAATCTAGGATAAGTGAGGACCGAAGGCACGCTGGACGAGGCTCCTGGTGATATTGCGGGGGTGAAGTGGGAGACGCCAGCTTTAGTCGCTGACAGCGGAGTGATCAAGGACATTATTATCTACCTAGGAGTTTGTGGCTTTGTTTTTCAGCAGCTGTGGTCGCCATCGACGGTATGTCTGGCGTTCCTTGGTAACTGTCCTTCCCCAGCTCATGTTTTACTGGAATATTTGCCTTCATCTATGGAATTGTGTGTAAACATTTTCCCGTCAATATTTTTAAGTCATTGAATGCATCCAGAATTATGCTTTGGCAATCGTAGTTATATAGTCTTTGCATTCTCAAATACCTCTTCGAGGTTTTTTAATAGACGCCGTTCCAGCGCACAGCCCGCCGTCGGGCCGCCCTGGTCATGCTGCTTCTGCTCTTCTTCCGTTGTTGGTAAGTGTGTGTTTGTTTCTTCAAATCGATTTTCCTTTAGCGTCCGATGCCCACTTTGCTTTTCTCACTCGACCTGCTTTTTGCGTTGTTGCCTCTCCGGGGGCCGGCGGGAAGAAGGAACCTGCTCCGCTTCCCTATGCATAGGCTGCCTTGAGGTGTACTTGCAGAGCACGAAGGCGTGTGATTTTTGAAGGAGGGAAAGTGCAGAAAGGTGGGCAACACATAGAAGCTCTTTACAATATTTGTAACGCCCCACATAAAAGGGTCTCCATAGCGAGACACACACGGAGAACTCCACACAAAACGAATCGGCAGGTATTGCGTTTTTCCAGAGAGGCATCTTCTATTTCTCTGCCTGCACCCTCTAAACAATCCTACCATTCTTTCACGCCCAGTTGCATCGAGCAGAGCGTAAAGCGCGTAGCGAAGCAACATTGAATCCTATCGTAGTGTGGGTAATCCTGCTCTAGAAACGAAAACCATAAACGAATTGCCAAGCCAAGTAGGCAACGCTCTACTGATTGCCAAATAAATAGAATAACTGCGGCAGGACGAGCTTGCACATAATGTTGGCGCACTACGTGTGCCCCACTGCAGCACGGGGAACGCACATTCAGCAAAAAGTAGAGCGTAAAGCCATCCAAAACGTGCAGTAAGATGTAGAAAGTTTCATTTGAACAGACGAATATGTGGGGAGAAGAGTTTAGGATGGACGAACTCCGTGCCTGGAAACATTCAGCCATGATGGACCTTGGGCATCCCAGAATTGCTGGGGTGCGCATGCCTTCTCTATACCAGTGTAATTATCTTGCTGCCGTGTAGCTAGAGGCACTTCGAGCTGTTCGATCATTCTCAGTGAACAGTTTTGAGGCATTTCTTACGTTGCAAAGAGCTACTCTAAGCTTGGATGACGGTGCGGCGACGCTGAACCGGCTCTCGGAAGGCTGCCGCGCGTCCTGGAAAACAAGGCGTCCCCGGGAATACGTCCAGCCTGAAACAAAGAAAAGTGCAGTATCCAGAGGGCGAACATCGAAGTTTCTAGCTTGTAGATGCACTCCCACAGAGGCCCCGTGCAGGATCGGGGTCAGAAGCCGTCTCACACAAAGGTTGTTTGTAGGGTACGGGGCGTGCGGCTGCTGTGTGGAGGGCACTGGCGAACGCGACGAAAGGAGCGGCGGCTTCGCATTTGAGCTGAAACTGCATTGATTCTACTGCGATTTCGATGGGGAATGGGACGGGAGGGAGGAAAACGAGGAAAAAGCGGGAAGCGGGACGGATGCGACCGCCCTCAGCCGCACCGGGAGATGCGGCTGCCCACTCCGTACCGGTGGTATGGCGCAGTGGTGTCCACTGGCGCCTGCCGGTCAGAAGGGATTTCTTCAAGGCCTCTGCAATTCCTAGAGCCGAGAACTCCTAAATAGTGAGAATACGGCCAAGCGAGAGCCAAGGCAACCCCTCATTTGCAGCTCCCCACAGCGGGGCTGGTGCACACTGCTGCTCCAGTCCCTGGTGCCGGTTAGCGCTTCCTCGTTGCTACCGGCCTCTACTCCCTCGGCAGGAGGCAGCCGCTTCCCTCACTCCCGTGGACCTCTCAGTATGCAACCTAGAGGCGTTTAGACCCTACGGGGGTTTTTCTTTGCAAGCCCGGAGACAACGGCTGGGCGGAAGAGCAGGTTGCTGCTTCTTGTTGATGGCGGTGCATTGGGAGCTGCGGCATTCAACGGCACGAGCCGAACGGAGCGCCTTTCTCCCTGGCCTCAGCTTCTCCCACTAGGGGCCCTCAGTCAGCGAAGGGGGGCCCCCGAGCATCCGAGGGGCCCTTTACAACCTTTATCCGCATCGAAAGCCCCCGCACTCTCCGTGGTAGCCTGCGGATGCGTCCTTAAGATGCATCGCCCCAGCAACCTCTCGGAGGTTGAACGGCGCTGCATGATCGTGTACCACGAGAATGGGGCATCAATTAGACAAATTTCCCGCCTAATTGCCAGATCGAGGTCCTCTGTGCAGCGAGTCATTCACAAGCACATAGGTAAGACACCCCCTCCCCGGCTCTCCTCCACAAGGCCCTTCAGACTTTTGCCGACAACGGCCTCCTAGCTCCTCCCCAACCACTACTCACGCCTTCCCCCACAGCCACCGCAACAACACTGCGTATCCAAAAACGCATGCGGAAGCAGAGCCAGCAGCCGCACCCCCCCCTCTCTCAGGGGACCCCGCTCACACTGCGCAAGGAAAGAGCGCCTTTTCTTCCTCCTGGGGGAGTCAGAAACGCCCAAAGCACTCCGCCCACTCCCTCTGGCACGCGCAAAGAGGCTTTGCTCGGCCGAATCAAAGTTGCCTATCTCTACGTATCTATGCGACTCTTGACTGCTGCTGGAAGCAGAGGAGCTGCTCAGAATACCCCTCTTCTTCCCTCTGCCCGTCTCTCTGTCTGTGCGTCTGTGTGTACTGCAGTCCTCAAGTATCTGGCTGCAACTGAGCAGAGAGACCTAGCGCTCCTAGGGTCAGTCCATCCTCCCGCGGAGGCTCTAGCTGCACAGCAGCAACCGCTGCTCATCCTCCAACAGCTGATTCTGCAGCAGCAGCAGCAGCGCCAGCGACAGGGGGATTACGTGAGCGCTGTCGAGGGCGCCTTGTTGCAGCAGCTGCAACAGCTGCAACAGCTGCAACAGCAGCCGTTGGCGTCCCCCTCTCCAGGACTGCCACCCGCAGCACTGTCGGATAGAGGCACTCTCGAGGGCCCCTTAAGTGAAGAAACTGCGGCAGAGGAAGAGCCGCGAGCCGGTGTGCTCAATACGCCACCTCTCAGCAGCGCTGATGGATGCTGGAGCGAGCAGGAGCAGCATCAACAGGTGCAGCAGCATCAGCAGGAGCAGCAGCAACAGGTGCAGCAGCATCAGCAGGGGCAGCAGCATCAGCAGGTGCAGCAGCATCAGCAGGTGCAGCAGCATCAGCAGGAGCAGCAGCATCAGCAGGAGCAGCAGCATCAGCAGGAGCAGCGACGCCATCAATCGGCTGCGTTGGTGTGGGGGCAAGCACGCGACCAAGGCAACGGTGGCAGCGGCAAAGAGTATTTTCATGCTGAACCAAACGCGCTTTGTGCGCCAGCACTCATAAGAAACAACATGTGGAGCAGCAGCACCAAGAGCAGCCGCAGCAACAGCAGCAAAAGGAGCTGCAGCGGCTGCTCTAACACAGCTTGCCACTCGGAAGTACGAGCGAACTCGGGAGGCACCCCTTCTGGCTTGTTGATGAAGGGCGAAAAAAGCCTTCAAGAAGGTGCTTCTCTGTGCTGCTCCACCCCCGCCACTGGCCTTCTTCAGCCTTCTGGAGGCTCTCCTCCAACGAGGCTGATGCATGCGATGGCAGTAACTGCAGCTCCCTGCAGCGGCGGCAGCGCCCTACCCGAGGAGCAGCGGCAGTCGGAGAGGACGCTTCCCCTTCCTCCTGACACGGGTAAAGCCTCAGGATCCTCTCACAAGCTGAACGCACTGGACACATGGAAATGGCAGCAGCAAAGAGCCGACCCTGTGCGGCAGGGAAGGCTAGAGCCTCCCTTGCCTCCGGCTTTGCAGGACCAACTACCTCTCGTGCAGCAGCAGCAGGTGCAGCAGGTGCAACAACAGCAGCAACAGCAGCAGGTGAAGCAGCAACATCAGCAGGTAAAGCAGCAGGTGCAGCATCTTCTGAGGCAGCAGCACATGCATCAGCTCTTGCAGCAGCAACAGCAGCAACAACGGCAACAAGGGACGGCTGGGAATGCCCGCCGTCAGAGCGGCGCCAGGAGCAGCAGAGGGGTGTGGCAGCAGCAGCAGCAGCAGCAGCTGCAGCAGCTGCTTTTGCATCATCAGTTGCAACAGCTGCAGCGTGAAACGCGAGGCAAATCTTGTAGCCTGCATCAGCTAGAATACGGGGGACTGCTAGAGCCGTCGGCGTGTGGTTCCAGTACGGCGTCTTCAGCGGGCATCATGAGAACGGCTGCAGGATTGGAGGCTTCGTGGATACAGCAGAAGCACAACTTGCAGCAGCACAGCATGCACCAGCAGCCGCACTATCCGCGGCTTCCGGAGGAGGCCTCTACGTTCGCGGCTTACGGGGGTGACGCCTCCCGTGAAAGCGCTAGAGAGGGGATTCTTCTGCATCCGCATTGGTGGCAACAGCAACAACACCAGCAACAACAGCAACAGCAACAGCAGCAACAGCAACAGCAGCAACAGCAACAGCAGCAACAGCAACAGCAGCAACAGCAACAGCAGCAACAGCAACAGCAGCTCTTCCGATGCGGCATTACTGACGCTGCAGCAAGCACACGGAACGAGGAACATGGCCTTTTTTCTGGCGAAGGCGCTGGAAGCGGTTGCTCTAGCGGGAAGGAGCCGCAAGTGCTGCTGCCTGTGCAGAGATGTGCCTCTTTGGTTGCTGGGGGTCCGCACAGTAACGTGCATGCAAATCAGAGGATTGGAAGCGGCAACAGCACTGCCTGGATGCCTGCTCTTCAGGATGTGGGGGGGGGGCCCTTAGAGGGGACTTCTTATGATCTCTCCTTCTTGCCGTTCGGAATTGCGCCTTTTTCTCGCGCGGGAGGAGGCTCCGGGGGGGAAGAAGTGAGGACAAGTTTGCAGCGGCAGCAGCAGCTGCTGGTGCAGCATCAAGTGCTGTTGCAGGAGCAAATGAAGCAGCAGCATGAGTATCAGCAGCAGCTGCTGCAGCCGTATCCGCTTCCCTGCAACCAGGCGGGACTGGGATCTGCACCATGGGTGTCTCCCGTTGCTCTCTTTGCCGGTAAAACTAAGCTACCTTTCGAAGAAGCTGCCGCAGCGGCTTCCAAAGAAGAGGCAAGCGGCGGCAATGCCACGCTTGCCGCGGGGGGGGTGGATTTGGGGTGTATCGACGGCGCGGAGGCAGGAGTCACCGTCGCATGCGCAAGCCCGACAAAGGCGCGCCCTCTGATCGCTCATCAGTCTGCAGCAGCAGACGCAGCGGCGGCTTTGGAAGCAGGAGCCGCGTGCTGCGGATCTACCGCTGCGCACATGCAGTGTTGCAGCCCTCCTCGCATCGGCGATTCGAGGGCAGCAGATTAGTTTGTGTTTTGGGCCTCATGCAAAAGCTTTTCCGGTTGTTTGTGTGTGTATTGTGTATGTTGGTGTAATGCACACTACACCCCGACGTCTTCCGAGACTTGCTGTCGGGGAGGCAGCTGTGCCGCACATCCAGCTAGAAGAAGCGCAGTAGCAAGTTGTTTGTGAGAGCGTCTGCGGGAGGAGGGGCAGCACTCTGGCCATGATCCTTTTTTCTGGATTTCACGCAGCGGCACCGGTAAAAGTCGACGCACACGTGCCTGCGCAACAGGCATGACGATCCTCAGCAGCAGCTGCCACACCGCCTGTGTCAGCACGCGGGTTTTTTGTCTCTGGCTTGGAGGCCTGGACCAGTGTAACTTCACATGCAAAAGATGGTCTTCGTTTGCATGCATGCGCACAAATCCGCGCTTCCCGTTCCTGGCGACGCACGCGTTCTCGCAGGATTGTACGCTTAACGCCGTCACCTTACCGCCCGCGGGGAGGTGTAGGCGGGGAGGAAGGGGCGATGGCAGGAGGGCGAGGAGTGGGAAATTCCACGGAAAAAGTGGAGGCGTCCCTCGATGAGAGTGGCGGCTTCTCGTACACCAGCCCCTCCACTGGCAGCAGGAGGCAGCAGCTGAGCACTAGCGCCACCAACACCATGAGCAAAGGCAGCAGGGGAACTGCGCGGCGAAGCACTGCGCACAGGCTTGCCTGCACAGGGGCCTCAGCCATAGCACAAGGGGCCCCTTCAAAACGAAGGAGCTAAGGGTGGTCAAAAGGAGGGCGATACGCAGTAGAAAATCCATGTGTGGGACAGAAATCAGGCGGAAGAAGAAGCGTGCCGTTTCACAGATTGAACTGTTTTATGCGATCTGATTACCCATGGACGGAAACTGGGAATGAGGCCTCCAGAAAGCCCTGCCTCTACCTCCACGCAAGTAGCCTCGAGAAGCCTTCTTGGACTTGCACACAAATATATACATATATTTATTTGCCCGCCTACAAATAAATCAATATGTATATTCTGATCGACCGGTGGACCTTCATGTGCGTACGTATGTATATATCAGTGCCTACACATGCATATTTGTAAGCATGTGTAGTTTAATGTCTTTACTTATGTATATATCTGTATACATCTGTGTATATACGCATGTCCAGATATATCTAGCTATACGGCCCTGTATACATAAGTGTGCTTATGTTCGTAGTATGAAATGACTCATTTTGTGTACATCTATGGATGGGCACATGCATCCATATTGAGGTATATACCTGCATATGCTGGCTGCCGCTATATATATGTGGGTTGATCTCCGTCCTCCGCCTACGCGTAGATCAGTGGATGTATATATATATATATATATATATATATATATATATATATATATATATATATATATATAAATCTTGCACACATGCATGCATCCAGCCTTGTCAGGTGTACATAGGGATATTGCACGTAAACAAAGGGTAGTATGTACATGAACATGCACATACACACTACACCTATGTTAGTGGATATATTCACACACGGTCTATCTTAATGCGGTGTGATATATCTAGATTATCTTGTATACAAGTATGTCATTCGGTGCAAAATGGCGGCACCTCCATGCATACGCCCCTATAAAACTCACTGTCCCTATAGGTAAAAGATGCTCTCTCTATATATACACATACTATATATACACTCGTCATTGTGAATGTGTGCAGCGAATTCGAGTGCACACGGGCTGTTTGTAGTAGGTGGAACACTGTTAACGCCTATGTTGTATATCCATCCTCTTTTCTTTATATTTTGCAACTATTTTTGTATTCCCCTGATCTCAACACATGTATATTCATGTGTAAATACACATCGGGACCACATCCCGGCTCCCTCGGTGGATTCGCTTGAAGGTACGGACCTGCCCTGCGCATATATATATAAGTGTATAAATATACATAAAGCTCGTGTATATGCATACTTCGGTGCACACGCAAAAAATAAGGAGGTGGTCTTGTAAATACGCGTGCGTGTGGGTTTGACACTATATGTATTTAGATATATATATATATACGCGGGGTGTATATATTTATGCGTTGAGACATACGCATATAAATGACATATATATACGGTCGTGTAGATTTGCATATACAGAAAAGACGCTAGTGAGGGCAAGCCTTTTTGAGCTGTCACGCCTGCGCAAAGCGCCTGTCTGACGGTTCTGAAGTGTATCATAGTAATCGGTGCTGGCTTTGTGATCCTTTCGCCGAGTCAGCTAGAAGACAACAGCAATCGCTGTTTCTTTGTGTGTGTCTGCTTGCTATTTCCTGTAAAAAAGGGAGGGCGACTCACCGACGCCCCCTTTGTAAGGCATCAGCGCGCTTTGTGCGGTGCCGATAAGTCAGCGAGCGAGTGAGTGGTAAAATGGTGTTACCCGAAATGGCATACGAAATCCCAAGTATGCGCCTGCTTAATGTAGAGGCCCGTATCCCGAACGGCACGTCATACCTTCTGGGAAGATACAGGAGACAGGACCGCACAAACTGCTGCTGGTGCTGCTTTCTTGACGGCTCCTTTACAAAGGCCACGAGAGTAGCTGCTTGGCGCTGCCGTTGTTGCGGTCCAGTTGTTATATACACGAATGCAAACGCGAATTTGTGTGTCGCTAGTACCGCTTGATAGCGAGCCCTTGCATGGGCAGATGAATAGAGATCTAGAGAAACACTTTAGGTGTACCGAAGGTCCATAAGCGCGCACGTTCGGGACCAGGCAGAGAGGAGAAAGCGATGCTTCAGCTTTTTTCTCTCGTCACAGCCTTGTTCCTTGGCCTCAAGCCGCACTCGATGCAGGATGCGCCTCTACATAGCCGGGACGCACCTCGGAATTAGCGGCAACACAAGAACAAGATTCTCTCTTCCGCTCCCGATGTAGCAGGCAGCAAGAACCTCTAAAAGCGCTCTGGATGTTGTTGTGCAGCTGTCTGAGGGCCTATTGAGTCCGCTTTTCGAATGTAGAGGCCTCAGATGTGAGATAGCAACGGAGAGCTGTGAGTCCTAGCGACCTCTTCGCGGATACGGCAAACACAAAAGGCTGTAGGACAGAGCGCTGTTGCGGCGGCTGTTGCTGCAGCAGCAGTAGCAGTCTCTGCTGCAGTCGTAGCATGAATCCGTGAAGCTCGAACGTCTTCACACACACGTCAACACATGCGGGCTTCCAGCTCGCGTCAGAAGATCTCGAAAACAGATAGATGCGGATATATATGTGTACATATATATTCTCTACAGGCATTTGTACAGGCACACACTGCCATACCCTGGAGGGAGCTCTATTTAGTGAAAACAGTGCTGGACACAGATGCCTCCGGGGGCTGTCTGCCAGACGCAGCCGCAAGACGGCAGTGGCACTGGCATACGGTGGCTGTTAGGAGAGGCGCACGGGCTTACGGTAAGGAGATCTGCCTTTGTTACAACTACAAGAAAAGGCTTATTCTTCTCGAGGAGCAGACTCCACAGAGAGAGGTCCAGGGTTCGAACACCGGCCGAGGCATCCACCAGACAGACCACGCGGCGCAACCTGCATGAAAAGAGAGGGAGCCCACATTTTACAACGCTTGATGGTGTGCATTTGCATGCAGTAGCAGGGGAAGCTGCAGAATGTGCGTGCAAGCAGGCCGAGAAGAAGCTGCCTTTCGTGAAAAGAGCAGGCGCAGACAGGCACAACCCTAGGCGACGCGAAATCTAGAGACGCCTGGTTCGGAAGAAAATCCCACAGTCTCACTGCGTAGACCGCTCCAAGTACTGTTCCAACAACAGTGCCCAGTCTTTTTTCATTTCCTGAGGAGGCAGAGGCAGCAGCAAGGATGGATTAGAACCCTATTTTTCTCTTACGACAACGAGCACCCACCAACGCCCTAAGGGTGACGAAGCAACCCGCATCTCGCCGAGAAGACCCCCATGCAGCCGGAGACAATACACGACGCCCAGCACAATACGACACACAGCATCTACAACATAGAAAACGATGCGACACACAGCATACAACACGATACGACACAAAGCACACAACACAGAACACGATACACATCACACAACACGAGAAGGCACATAGCACAACACACACGATGCACGAAACACCACACAACACAACACACAGTACAACACACACAAGGATACACACAACACGATACACACACAACTCGATACACACACAACCCGACACACACATCCCACCTCACTCAAAACACCTCACAACACACACAACATAACACACAGTACAACACACTCCACACATTACACACCGCACAATACATACTTACCGCTGGAACCTTTGCGAAACCGTACCCTGGAAGATCGACGAGGGACAGGCGCATGCCCAAATCAAATGTGAAGAGTTGACGAGTTCGTCCCTGGCAAGCGAGGCACCAACAAGGAAGCAGAATAGCCGCTGAGAGAACGGCGCCGTGAACAAGGGGGCTATGGAGGTCCGCAGACAGCAGCGGCCAGCAAGAAGTGGAGAGACACCGCATGCAATGCAACAGAGCAGAGCCAACAGCAAAAGCCGCCCGACAGCTCCAGAACGTGTGGGGGCGAACTCGCAGTACGCACTGCGACGCGGCTTGTTCGAGCCACCTCTCTCCCAAAAAGAAGACCGTTGATAAGACTAGACTTTCCAGAGTTTGAATGCCCCACAAATGCCACCTACAACGCAGGGCCAGGCAATGAAGCACGTTGCGTGGCATCGCGAATGTCGTGCTTGCGCGACAGTCGCAGAGTTCTCCCCAAGAGAGAAGTTCGGCAAAAGCACAAGGAAGAGGAGAATGGAAAGAAAAAGGGAGGGCTTCAGCAGGAAGAGCGAGTCAAAAGGGGCAAAATGCGCAGCACACCTGAGGGATGCCTCGACTCGGAAGGCGATGTATTGTCTGCGCGACGATAACTGGATGGGCAGTAATTGGAAGCCGAAACACGGATGAGGCGTATGCCTCCTGCAGCAGCATGCACATATATGTGGTGACAGTCGGGTGTATGTGGTGACAGCAGCATGAACAAGAGCGCAGCGAGGGCTATAGCGGGCAGAACCCTGTGCCGCCTGGAGCCTCTGCACAGCAGCGGCAGTCAAGATTGGCAGGAGAAGAAGCGGAAGCGACTAACAAGCGAGCGTGTACCTGTTTTTGATGCATCCAAGGCACGCGAATCTCCTGAACGGCATTATCGTCATACAGGGAGACGAAAGGGCGCGCCATAAAGGGGCCTGCTGTCACTGGTGTCATTGAGGTTGGAGTTGGTCCTACCGTTGCTTCGATATCGGAGGAGAAGAAGCTTCGCGCAGCGGCAGCAAATGGAGAAGCCCGCCCAGCATTTTGGAATGCAACTCGAGGCTTTAAGGTTACGAAGCCTACAGAAAAGCGACAGCCTTCCCTGCTTGAGGAGGAAGAAGAAAACCCCCGACTAAGTGCCTGGCATGCTCGTCTTCCCTGCGAAGCCATGATGCAGGAGGCGGAAGGCTCTACTGGATAGTATGCAGTGGCCTCCTCACTCAAGGAGGCTTTTCGCCCCTTAAACGCCTGTCTCCTAAGGGCGAAGGAGTGCAGCAAGAGGGCAGGGAAGAGCTTTGGGGGCCCCCTCCCTTCCCCCCCTTTACGTCGCCTCTACGGTGTCGCCGAGAGAATCCCTTCAGGGAACCTCTGACTGTGGCCTCTTCGGAGACTCGTTTCCTTCTTCCCTCCTTCTCTCCCTACTCAGTGTATCCGTGGAAGTGAGAGAATCCCTTCAGGGAACCTCTGACTGTGGCCTCTTCAGAGACTCGTTTCCTCCTTCTCTGCCTCCTGAGTGTATCCGTGGAAGTGAGAGAATCCCTTCAGGGAACCTCTGACTGTGGCCTCTTCGGAGACTCGTTTCCTCCTTTCCTCCTTCCCTCTCTCCCTCCTGAGTGTATCCGTGGAAGTGAGAGAATCCCTTCAGGGAACCTCTGACTGTGGCCTCTTCGGAGACTCGTTTCCTCCTTCCCTCCTTCCCTGCCTCCTGAGTGTATCCGCGGAAGTGAGAGAATCCCTTCAGGGAACCTCTGACTGTGGCCTCTTCGGAGACTCCTTTCCTCCTTCCCTCCTTCTCTCCCTCCTCTGTGTATCCGTGGAAGTGAGAGAATCCCTTCAGGGAACCTCTGACTGTGGCCTCTTCGGAGACTCCTTTCCTCCTTCCCTCCTTCTCTCCCTCCTGAGTGTATCCGTGGAAGTGAGAGAATCCCTTCAGGGAACCTCTGACTGTGGCCTCTTCGGAGACTCGTTCCCTCCTTCCCTCCCTTCCTCCTGGTGTATTCGTGGAAGTGAGAGAATCCCTTCAGGGAACCTCTGACTGTGGCCTCTTCGGAGACTCCTTTCCTTCTTCCCTGCCTCCTGGTGTATTCGTGGAAGTGAGAGAATCCCTTCAGGGAACCTCTGACTGTGGCCTCTTCGGAGACTCCTTTCCTTCTTCCCTCCTTCTCTCCCTCCTCTGTGTATCCGTGGAAGTGAGAGAATCCCTTCAGGGAACCTCTGACTGTGGCCTCTTCGGAGACTCGTTTCCTCCTTCCCTCCTTCTCTCCCTCCTGAGTGTATCCGTGGAAGCTCTCGGAGCTTCCTCACGAGCGCTAAAGCCCCTTAATGAGTCTGCAAAGCCTCGAAAATTATGTTGAAGTGCGAGAGACGCGTTGGAAATTCCGGAACGGGGGCGAAGGAGGGGGGGCCTCAGGGGGCCCGTACCCTTGATCTCCCAGAGTTACACAGCACTCCCGAGCCATTTAGCGGTGCCGTTTTGCGACTTGAGCCGAAGAAATGCTGCGGCAGCTGCTCTAGGCCTTGTAATTAGGCTCTCTTTTTACGGGAAAGAAGCACGCAGAAGTCTCCCGCAACTTGAGCGCCTGAGCGCCTCCTGTGGGCCCTCTAGGGTTCGAGCGCTGCATGCGCGCTTCTTGTCTAGCATGCGAGGTAGCTTTCAGCAAAGCCGAAGTTTGAGTTAAACGACGCACGCTTCAGAGGCTTGAAAGGAGCGCCTTTATATGGCGAGAGAACGCATCTTCGCTGGAGGGAGGGGGCTCCAGATCGGCCTGTCGAGAGAGATCGGGGAGCGCAGCCCGTACTGCAGGCGCTAAGGCTTTGTGCCGGTGGTTTTTTCCGGCTTTTTCTCTTTCTGCCTTATGACTGTGTTGGCTGCAGCAGCTCGCGAAGCAGCAGGCACGCGTTGGAGGATTTCTGGCGGTCCTTGTGGGAGTCGGAGAGGGCAGCAGCAGCAGGGTGAGCCTTGCTGCTGCTGCGTGCATGCTGGACCCTTTCTGCCGCAAGAGAGCCTGCAAGAAGAGGCGTCGCAGGGGAATGCGGGAGCAGGAAGAGCGCTAGAGAAGTCTCCGCGATCACTGCTTCTAGGGGGAAACAGCTAAGAGGGATCGACTGCGTCCATGCAGAAGCAGGGAACCCCCTCGACGTTGGTCGGTGTGCTTGCGTAGAGCTCCCAGGCGCTCTCGATTTCGATGCTCTGTCATGCCTTTCTAGCAACTCTAGACGCGCAGCTTTTTTTCTAAGGCCTCTGTCGCGGGCTTCCCGCGATGTCAGAGGCAGCAGCCGAGGCAGTGCGAACATCAGCGGCAGGGGGGCGGGAGGAGACAAGCACCACGCATGCCCTTGCACAAGATGGAGGGAGAACAAGGAAGTCTGCGGCGCGCAAAGCTGCTGCAGCAGCTGCCTCCCTCTCTCCTGCAGCACGTAGTGGAGCAGCTGCCGCAGGATCCGCTGCTGTTGAAGGTTTTGCAGCGCCGCGGGTGTGACAACTTTCTTGAAGCGAGATTCGAGGTTCATCCTCATAAGCTGCAACAAGGCGACTCGCAGGATGCTGTTGCCGATCTTGTCTGGTATAGTCGGAGGGGCAGCATGCGCCTCTGCATCCCGAGGATTCCCTCTCTGCTGCATCGCATCCTCGAACACTTTACTGCATGTCAAGTGCAGCAGCGGCTCGCGCAGCAACGGCAGCAGGATCAGCAGCAGCAGACGCCGCAGAAAAAAAGGCTCCTCCACCACAGGGACGAAGGGCAGCAGCAGGATGAGCAGGAGGATCAGCAGAAACAACAGAAACAGCAGAAGCGAAGTGGGAGTACCACGAATTGCATGCAGAATTCCAAGAGCTGGATGTCGCCTAGTTCGGGCTGTCTTTCTGCTGCTGCTGTTACTGCTGCTGCAGAATGCGCGCCTGGTCGCAACTGCAGCAGCAACTGCAACTGCATCAGCAACTGCAGCAGCAACTGCTGCTGCTGCTCCCAGGGCTGCAGCCGCCTTCGGTGTTGGTCCCTTGAGTTGCATGAGCAGCAGCAGCAGCAGGCAAGCCGCAGAAACAGCACGTGCGGTGAGCAGGAGCGATCTCTAGAGAGACTCTGCTGCAGCAATTTGTGCGTTCTCCGGCTGCTGCAGCAAGTCGCTGCTTGCTGCTACTGGCCAAGGATGCGAGAAGACTTTGAAGCGTTTCTTATTGAGCGGCAGGAGCACAATTCTAAGGAGAGTGCCAAGAGCACCCCTGCCAGCAGGGGCAGGAACAAGGGGGAGGGAGTACTACGCAGCAGTTCGGGGAGAGCAGGTGCATGCACCGCTGCTTGTAGGCCAGCTGCTCAGGGTAGACGCATGCGCGGGAGATGGGATTTTCGCGCAGATTCGGCTGTGGCAGCTGCGCCTGCTGCTGCGCAAGACTATCCTGTTGAGCCTGAGGCTGCTGCTATTCAAGGTCTTGTTGCATGCGCGTTGCCGTACCGGCATTTTGCCGAGAGCTTTGAACCGTTTTCAGAGGAAGGCGTCGTCTTCACAGCAGCAGAGAAGCGCGAGATAATCCAGACTTTATCGGCTCCCCTGCACTTTGTTACGCAGCAGCAAACCCAGCAGAATCACCATCAGCAGCAGTCGCAGGCGCCGCCGCAAGAGCAGGTGCAGCATGGGCACCTCAATAGCAGCAGCAGCAGCGTTGGAAACATCAACTTCGAGGACTGGATACCTCTGCAGGTGTGGGTAAGGGGCAGTACGGCTAAGTTGTTGCAGCAGCTGCCCTCTGCTGCTGGTGTGGCGGGAGTGCCTCTGCTACCCCTGAAACTGCAAGGGCAGCTCCTGCTGCTGGAAGCTGGCAATGCAGCGGAGGGTGCAAGTGCCGCGGCTGCAGCGCTTGAAGCTTCCGAGAAGCACAGAGCTGCCTGGAAGCACATGCAGCTGCATCTCGCTTCAGCTGCTGCGGAGGTCACCTTAGCGGCTGCTGTGCTGAGTGATGCAGCCGCTGCAGCGGCAGAATCCCCCGTGCTCTCCGGAAGTCATGGCGCTCCGGACGGCTTGGCGGGGGGGGCAACAACAACGGCTGAGATCTCTGCAATGCAGCAGCAGCTTCGCTGGGTAGCAGAAGCTGCCGTCGCTGCTGCTGCAGCGGCGGCTGCTGCTCTCCCGCAGAAGCCTCCCCCAGGATTCGGAGATATCTGCAGCGACTCGACAGATGCGGCGTGTTTCCAGCGGCCCTTGCCTCTAGATAGACCAGCAGGAGCAGAAACAGGAGAGGGCAGGGAGTTATACCCGCAAGGCGTCGTGTCTTCGCTGTTGCAGCACGTTGAGCTGCCGCTGCAGCAGCAAGAGCAGCAGCAGCAAGAGCAGCAGCAGCAAGAGCAGCAGCAGCAGCCGCGCCTCTTCACGCAGGACGTGTTTCCGCAGGAGTTGTGCAGTCTGCTGCAGCGTCAGCACGCGGGGAAGCAGCAGCGCCTGTGGGTGGTGCCTGATGCAGCAGAAGGGCAGACGCGAACGCAAGGAGGGCCAGCAGCAGACAGTGTGTCTGACGGATGTGCTTTGCTTGATGACAGCAGCAACAGCAACAGCAGCAACATTTTGCTGCCCTGGTATAGTTGGGAAGGCAGCGGATATCTCCAGTCCTCGTTGCTGCCCCCCTCAGAGCCTGCGCAGCCCTTGCCGCTGCAGCTTCTGGAGCACCCGGCATCTCCTGTTGCTGCTGCTGTGGCTGCTGCCGTTTCAATGCAAGCGTTCAGCAGCAGCAGCAGCGGCACAGGCAGGAGCTTGCCCCTGCCTGCCACTTTCGGAGGCGCTGCACTGCAGCAGCCGCATCACCTCCAGAACGCGACAGACCCCTTTGCTGGAGGAGCGCAGCAGCAGCCTGCAGCTGTGAGAGCAGCTAGTCTGCACCGCGATCCTCAAGCACGAGGCCAGCAGCAGCAAGGACTGCATCAGCAGCAGCAGCAAGGACTGCATCAGCAGCAGCAGCAAGGACTGCAGCAGCAGCAGCAGCAAGGACTGCATCAGCAGCAGCAGCAAGGACTGCAGCAGCAGCAGCAGCAAGGACTGCATCAGCAGCAGCAGCAAGGACTGCAGCAGCAGCAGCAGCAAGGACTGCATCAGCAGCAGCAGCAAGGACTGCATCAGCAGCAGCAGCAAGGACTGCATCAGCAGCAGCAGCAAGGACTGCATCAGCAGCAGCGGCTTGTAAACCCGTGGAGGAGCCGGCGCTCTCTGTTGACATTTGCCTTTGATGAGACGATAGCGGCTTCGGATTTAATGACGGTGTGCTGCAGCTTGTGGTTGGGGTGTCTGTACACCCGCGCGGAAGGGGTTTGTGTCGTCTTCACGCTTCGAGAGCTCCCTGTAAGCAAGCCCTCTGCCGCTTCTGGAAAGATTTCCTCCCTTTAGGCTGCTGCTGCTCTCGATGTCGCTGCCCTCTTGGCACTGGCTTGCAGTGTTGACTCCTTATCTTTGCATTTTTTCTGCGTCTGCAGGGCCTGCTGCCGACGTGCGTCGTGAGGCTGTGCGAAGCCGCGGATGTGCCGAGGCTGCATGCATTCGTGGGCTGCTGGCTGCAGCAGGTACTGCAGCAGCACCAGCAGCACATGCATCTTGTGCAGCAAAGCTGCACACGGCAGCAGCGACTGCTGCCGTTTGCAGCATCCCCCGTTGCTGCCAAGGGCCCTTCCAATCCCTTGACTGTCTGCGTCTCTTCGAAGAACGTCGCATCCCCTTCAGAGGCAACTGGCGCCGATACAGAGGGGATACAGGAAGCGACGCCGAGTGCAGCAGCAGCAGTCTCAGCAGCAGGGAGGGGGGGGCTGTTATCGACGGATCGGACGTCACCCTTGATATGGCTGGCGCCGTTGCTGCATCAGCTGGACGGTGCAGCACCCACTGCAGCACCCCGAGAAGGGGGCCAGCAGCAGCAGCACGAGTCAACGTTCTTTCTGTATGTGCTGCTAGATCTCCTGCTGCCGCCTCTGCGAAAGAATATTGCAGTGTTGCAACGCGTGAGCGGCCGGCGGGAAGGGGCTGCTGCTGCTGCTGACAGCAGCAGCAGCAGCAGCAGTGGGGGGGCCCCCTTTTGGGTGTTCTCAGGGCCTATCCACGGGCTTTCTGAGGCTGCCGCGGTTCTGCGCACGACGGTGTGCAGCAGCTGCAGCACGCGAGGCCTAAGCCGCTGCTCCTGCGGAGCAGCAGATGTTGAGTTGACGCTAGACATCGTGTTGGGGGCACTCCGATTTGCGTGTGTTGCTGCTTCCGCGAGTGGCAGCCGCAGGGCTAAGCTTGCCATCACAGATGCTGTGGCTGCGCCCGTCACGGCAGCAGGAGCAGCAGCAACGGCAGGAGCGGGGGCAGCAGCAGCAGCGCCGCTGCCTGCAGCAGGAGCAGCTGCTGCTGCTCCTGCTGCAGGGTGGATGGATCCAATGTGGGGGCTTAGAGCTCTGCGCAGTCGGTCAAAAACGTGTTCGAGAGCTTCACAAAAGGCTTCGCAGCTGGCAATAGCGCTCCTATGCTACCGCGCGGCTGTGCATGTGGCCGCAGCAGCCGCTGAAGCGGAAATAGCTGACGCTCGGGTTGCTGCTGCAGCGGCCGCTAAAGCAGCAGCAGACGACCGCCTTTTCCGCAGCAGAGGGACTGTGCAGCGCATGCATACTGCCGCACTCGAAGGCGCAACAGCAGCAGCGACGGCAGAAACGGCAGCCGAAACAGCAGCCGAAACAGCGGCGAAGAAAGGGCCTTTTCCAAGGAGTGCCTTAGGCCAGAGCCGCCGCTCGCTGACGAGAGGCGAAGGTGGAGCGGCTGGGAGAAAGGGTGGTTCTGGGGTGTCTGTACTGCCGCCAAGAGATGTTGCTTCACAACGGCTGGTGGTTAGACGTTCTCTGTTGCGCGCCCTGCTGGCGCTTCGCCGCTGTTGTGTACCGCCACCCTCCATCGAAGAACTGCAGCAGCAGCAAAATCAGCAGCAGCAAAATCAGGAGCAGCAAAATCAGCAGCAGCAGAATCAGCAGCAGCAAAATCAGGAGCAGCAAAATCAGCAGCAGAAGCAGGAGCAGCAACAGCTGTCGGGGGACGCTCATCTGATGCAGCAGGGCAGCAGTGCAAGCACAGTCCTTATTCCGTTATTGCCTTTATCCGCCGACAAGCCTGTAGGACATGACATTGCTTTTGCAGCAACTGCAGGAGAAGGGAGTTTACCCACTTTGGCAGCAGCAAAGGCTGCAGATCACGCAAAGGGCGACGCCACCAATACTGCTGCTCCTGCTGCGCTTCCAGCTCATTGGCTTACGATGGCCTCTGCCTATGAGCACTTAGCCGACACTTTCTTGCTGGAGCATGCGCATCTTGAGAGGCAGAAGCTGCAGCAGCAAAAGGGCCCTGCTGCTGCACCTTTGGTCGAAATGGAGTTTCTGCAGCTGCGCTGTCTTTCGCGTGCTGGGCAGCTGCTGATGGAGGGCTTTCGGTACGGTGCTGCTAGTGGAGTGGGAGGCAGAGGCAGCAGCACTTGCAGGAGCAGCTGCTGCTCCAAGTCCACTGCGTCTGCCAGTGCTCTGTGGGGACGGCAGCGGCTGCTGCTGCTACGCCGTTTGCAGGGAAAGCTGCTGCGTTGCCACATGAGCCTTGCGCAGTTGCATCTCTCGTCCCTGTGCGTCGATGCTGCAGCCTCTCCTCTTGCCGCATGTGCTGCGGAGCCGGCTTCTCTGCGCACGAAGCAGGCGCTATGCAGCCCCAGTGCTTGTTCGAGCAATGCGGCTTTGGCGAAACTTGAAGGAGTGGGAAGAGGGCTTCGACACTTACTGCTTGCTTCTTGTTTCTTGCATCCTAGTGGACCAAGCAGCCACACCGGCGCAGAAGACAGCTGCGTTGGCATGAACGCGGATGCCGCTCTGCTCTGCAAGTCTGCATATCTGTCTTGCGCAGAAGTGTTTGCAGCCCTTGGGCAGGCACTGCCAAGCTGCTGCCGCACGGTGCAGCAGGAGCAGCAGAGGACCTCCGCTGCTGCACCTGCTGCCTCGGAAGCAGCTGTTTCTGCTCTTTTCCAGACTATTGGTAGAGACCTAGATGCCGTTCCTGAGTGGTGCCGACCCTTGCTGGCCTCAAGCAGCAGCGACAGCGGCGGCAGTGGCACTGCCTGCGCGGCTGCTGCTTCTGCCTCCAATTGTGCAGCCGAGGGTAACGCTGTACGCAGCAACTGCAGCTGCAACTGCAGCTGCAACTGCAGCAGCGGCAGTGCCAATCCGCCTCTTCGCCTCTGGAATCCGCCCCTGCTGCCATGCTCTTCGGCTACAGTTCCTCCAGACAAGGAGAGGCTCCTAAACAATGGAGTTGCATTCTGCCTGCGCGTCTTGCAGCAGCAGCTGCCGAAGGAACAGCAGCAGCAGCAGCAGCAGGAGGCGCGGAAGGGGGGCGACGGCTCGAGCCGGCGCGAGAGCTTCAGCAGCTGCAACAGGGGCAGCGCTAACCACAGGCTCGCGGGAAGCAGTAGCACTGTCGCACACCAGCATCATCATCAGCAGCAGCAGCAGCATCAGCAGCAGGCGCACGAGTACCAGCAGCAGATGCAGAGGTGTCTGGACACTCGGGCGCAGCAACTCATGGCTTCTGCATATGCAGCACTTGGTCGTATGTACATCGCAACAGGCAGACGGACAAGGGCCCTCATTCATGCGAAGCAAGTAAGACATACGCCTCTTCCTTTCTCAAGAGCTGCAGTGTGTGGTCTGCTGTGTCGTGCGCTCGAGTAACAAGTTCGGCCTGAACTCTTATTATCGTTGTTGCTGCTGCTGTTACGGGTGCTGCTACTGGTGTTGCTCATGCAGGGTATAGCCTTGTTTGCTGCAGTGGGAGACGCGGTGAGTGCTGCGCGGATGCAGCTCATGCTGTGTTGCATGAAGCTGCACCCCCTGCTTTTGGAAGAGAGCGATCACAAGCTGCAGCTGCAGCCGCTGCTGTCGCAGGAGAAACATGAGCAGGAACTAAATCCAGCGGCTGTTGCCGCAGCCCTCGCGTGCGGCAGCGGCCGCTGCGTGCCCCAGCAGTTGGCGCTTATGCAGCAGCAGGTGCAGCTGCTGCAGAGGGAACTGGCGTTTTTAGAATCGCTTGTCGAGGAGCAGGCAGCTGCAGACGGACATTCGGCAGCTGCAGCCGTGCAGTGGGTGCAGCAACAGCAGCAAGCCTCCGCAGCAGCAGCCGAGGTTGCAGACAGCTTCCGATGCCTTCTGACTGCTCTCCACCTGCGGATGGCAGAACACGAGGTCTTGCATGCTGCCGCTTCTGCGCTCCCGCAGGGACTGCAGTCGGTGCCTTGGGAGGCTGCAGAAGCCCCTCACGATACAGCTGAATTGCTGTCGGCCTTCGCGCTGTTGCTGGCGCGCGAGAAGCACAGCGGCAGCCGCAGCTGTCCTTTGCGGTCGCAGCAGCAGCAGCAGTCGCTCCTTAGTAGCCACCAGCCGTGCGTTGCGGACAAGGGCTGCCTGCAGCTCGCGCTGCAGCACATCCACAAGGCTCTGCATCTCTCCTCCTCAGAGAGCCGCAGTCAGCAGCCTCTCCAGCGGGTGGAAGAGCAGCAGCCGTTTCTCCTCCTTCCCGCGCTTCACGGCCTGGCAAGTGCGGCTCTTGCTGCAGCCCTCGCGTTGCCGCTCTTCGAGGAGGCCCAGCAGCACCAGCCGCAGCTCCAGCAGCACCTCCACTCCCCAAGGCGTCACAAAGCACGCGTGCTGCACATTGCCTCGTGCAGGCTGTTGGAAGCCTGCAGGGAGCTTCGAGAACTTTCCCTCTTGTGGGCAAGCCAACCCGATCTGCAGAGGCAGCAGCAGCAGCAGGAAGCGCTTGTCGTACGCGCATGCAGAACGTTTGCGTCCTGCTGCTGCGTCTTGGGAGCAATCCGGGCCCCACGAGGAGGGCGAAACAAGTCAGACTACCCGCAGCAGAAGCAGCAGCAGCAGCAGAAGCAGAAGCAGCAGAAGCAGCAGCAGGAGGCCATGGCGGCCCTTCGGACCCTCTCAGGCCTCGGCGTGTTGCTTCTGCCATTCCTTGGCGCCAGCAACAACGCAAGCAGCAAGCGATTTACCAGCGGAAAAGGGGGAAAGCTTGTGCTGCCACTGCTGCAGCAGGAGCCATCCGTGGAACGCGCTGCCGCGGAGCAAGCGGCTGCCCACCTCTCCCTGCCCCCCGCGGTTGCTGCTGCGTGTACTGTACTTCTGCTGCTGCTGCATGCAGCGCTTGCCCCGGGCATAGAAAATGCGCCAGAAGACACAGCATCGGAAACAATAGCGGCACGATCAGCAGACAAGACACAGCACACACCACCTGGCTTAACGCCGTCCCTGATTTGCGTCACCATCAGAGACCTCCAGCAGCGGCTGCTGCTGGCCAGCCCGGAATCTGCCTACCATTCAGCGGCAGCTGCGGCTAAAGCAGGAGCAGCAAATGCAGCTGCAGCCGCAAACGGCATCAGTTCTGTAGCGGCTACCCTCATGGACCGGTGCCTGCTTCATCGGCGTGAAGAAGAACGGCTTCACAGGTCGTGGCTCCAACAGCAGCAGCAACAGCAGCATGCGCTGCTTCTTCATGCGTTCTTTTCACTGCTTTCACATGACACGAAGCCTGAGCAGTTCTTACCAGAACGCTGAGGGGCGTCACACCCGCCACGACTGCTGTTGTGAAATCGCTGCTTTCCCCCCAAATTGTAGGGGCAGACAAGGCCCTCGCGCCAGTCCTCCTTCGGCCTCACTAATACACCAGGTATCTTGTGTTGCTTAGTAACGTGGAAACAGCAACGCTCGCACCTTCAGGCACTAATCGGTAGTAGTGTTAGCAAGTGCAGTGTGCCTTGTGTTGCTGCGTTCCGATTGGGTGGCCCCCTGTTCAGCTTTGCGGATTCTCTCCGCAAGGCAGCCCCAGAAAAACGCAGTGTTGCATGCTATCCACGCATGTGCATTTGCGTATGTATGCGGATGTGGACAACTTTTCTTCACCCCTTTTTGGATGTCTACACCTCCGCTCATCGCGAGGACAGATGCACCTGTGTGCATCTCCGTAGGCTACACACGCGCGTACCCCTTCAGGATGGCACGCACACTGGAGGGCCACCGAGCTGCAAGGTCTTACTTTCTTCGGCTACAGTGGGAGCTTTGGTTTCGATGCATGCATGTATGCATCAATGCATTTGCGCATGCACTTAACACGCACAATCTTCACGTGGAGTGCCAAGCCCTCCACCGTTCCATTACATTGAATACCCTAGTCTACATGTAGACATACACAGAGCACGGGCAACATAGCGAGAAGTGGATATCTAAGATAAGGGGGGGGGGGGTGTAACAACTAGGGATGACCCATGGGACCTTCTGAGTTGAATCGCCCAGGTATCCTGAAATACGCAAAGGACCCTTTTAGTGCCCTAGGTGTTTCACAAAGCATGCGAAGTGTACGTCATCAATCTGTCCACCTGTTTGCACTATAATCTATAGAAATGAATGCACTCCCCTGTCGAAGGCAGAGGGCACAACTTCCTTAACGTATTTCCTGCCGCAGCTCTTCCTGTGACTTGTGCGCTTGGCAAGTTCCTTGCACACTAAACATTGCAGCACAAAGAAAGCGCCTAAATAGGCTAGCTAGCTTTACCAAAGCCCTGGAGAGTATCTCCTTTTAGTGCTTTCAACTAAGCCTTCCCACACGGCGCGGTGCTGCGAACAGAGGGGCCCGCATGGGCGTAAGAGCCTTAACACACTAGCTAGGAGGCCCAAGTTGTCTAGCGTTGTGTGGGCTGAACGCTCAAGCCCCTGAATTCCACCGAAAGTCTACACTCAAGACACCAACAGATGTGCAGCGAACCGCAAAGGCACACAAATCCGAAGGGATATGCTTAAACAGCAGTGTGCCTTTCCCGAGTTCGTGCAGTGCCGGCTGCCTTGCTTGACTGCCATCGTCCTCAGACTTGAATGATGGACTGATACCACTGAAGACTGCTCTTTCTGAAGCTCTCCCTCGAACTTTTTGCAGAACCGCACAAGCGCCAACCAACCACCTTTCCGACAGTCAGGTGCCTAGCAAACGGATATCACAAGGGCTCAGTTGGCATACGCTGCAGTCCAACTTTTCTCGCCAAGGCTCTGGAGCGAGTCGCTCGCTCATAGAAACGCGACTAGCACCTTCCCGATGGCACTTCCGCATGCCACTCAACGCCAACAGGCTGCGTTGGCAACGAGTTGATCCTGATGCAAAACAGCGCCAATCAGCGCAGAGGGACGCTTTAGGAAGCAACAGTAATACCAGTTTCACGGCAATGATCTGCCGGAGCCCAGGCAAAGTGGTGCTCCTTCCTGAGAGAGCGTGCAAAGCCTGTATCGGTTGTCAGAGCGTCGCTCTCGCTGCTTTTCGAGCGTTCTCCGGTTATTTCATAGAAGCACGATAAAACAACGTCACTATAGGCCATCATCTACATTGGCAGAGAGAGAGAGAAAGAGAAAGCGAGGCATGCTCCTGTTTTGCATACTTTGCAAACTTTCTGTCTCCCAGAAGCTCCTGAGGATGAAGCCCCAAGGAGGGTGATCGCGGATAGCGTGGCAAGTCCCTTAATAAACGTTGCCTCTTCGCCTCTGCGTTTAACGGGTCGCCTTTTAATTTGTTTGCTACTAGTTTCATTTCGTGTTCATGCACCAGAAAAGGTGGGTTGCGCTGGGACTGCCCAATTGGGCAATTCTGCCGCTCCTGGAAAGACGCTGCTCTGCCTTCCTCTTCTTTCTAGGTTGTTTCGGCTCATTCTGTTTCTTGGCTTTGTCGAGCGCTACTGAATTCTCTCGGTAAGCTCCTTGATCTTCAACTTCCGTAGGCCGCTTCGCGAAGCAGCCCTTGAGCTGACTCCCCGCGAAGCTGGAAAGCGTCAGTTTCCTCATTATTTGACCGCACTTTCTAGACGTCGTGCACACGCATTCGCATGGCCCGGCCTACACGCCCCGCCGGCACGCCGAAACTCTCCTATTGGACAGCCACGAGGGCATCCGAAGTGAGAAAGCCAGAGGATGACTGGTGAAACTGTGAGCAAGGGCGATCCTTCTGGGGGCACAGGGTCCTCCATGACAAACGAAGGCTTGCACCAAAGAACCTTTTCCGAAGCCGGCGAGCCTACCGCACCATGCAAGTCGGCCACTCCCAAGCAGGCCCGACAACACAACGAATCCTTCTGGCGACATATTTTTGAGGAAATCGGAGTCCGGCAGAAGCCGCCTCCGCCTCCTCCAAAGACTTGGAAGGACAAGTTGGCATGTGCGTGCCTATGCAGGGTTGAGAGGGCAGGCTACCCGTTACTTTTTGCATAGGGGACTCTCCGCTGCTTCCTCCAGAAAACGCTCGATGCGGAAGGAGCGGGGGGAAAGGGGGAGGAGGGAGGAGCTATGGGAGGGGCCTCTAGGGCCTTCTGCCCGCTACTTGTATTTTTCTGTATTGTGCCCCTCGGACTGTAGCGGGCGGCAGGCATGTCTCGTAGTGTGACACTTTTTTGCATTCTACCTTGACTGCTAGGCTGATCCGCGGCGAGCTGTGTTTGTCCTGCTTGCTTTTAGGTGTAGCCGTAATTTGTCTGGCGGCTCTCATCGCTTCCCAAGTCAGTGATGTAGAAAGCCTATGCGGAGTCTTAGGAAGCGGATCCTCATCTCAGGCCCAGAAAAGATAGGCCGCGCGCGGCGTTCAGCATTGTTTTGAATTGGGAACGAGTGTGACTCTTGACTTCCTTATCGACTGGCTACGTTATGACTTCAGCGATTGTTCTAGGGCTATGTTGGCCCCTGAAGGCTGTGTGGTGGCGTGTCTTTTGGTGCGCAGATAGGGTATCGCTTTTACATGGATTTCCACTATGGCTTTGAAGCCATTGATGTTGCAGACTCGCAGTTTTTGAAGGGTGAGCTTCGACCATCTGGCGAGAAAGAGGCCCGAGTCTCGCGTTTGCTTGATTGTAATGTATGAAAGGTTCAGGGCGCTTCTCACAACATCATACATATTTGTACAACGTCATGAATATTTGTACAACGTCATACATATTTGTGTGTGGGCATGTGTGTGCTGTGCAGAGGTCATGTTTGGTGGAAAACCATGGGTAGTGTTATGCAGGTGGCCCCATAAGCGCGCGTAAGCAGTCGTCAGCAAGTTGAGTTTTGAAGGTTTGAAAGTTTGGGTATAGGGCCTTTCTTCTACGGAACAGAGCCTGCGTGGTGACGGCTTGCAGGAAAGTGCCCGAGGTGGTCGACAGAAGCCGCATTGAGCTCTTGAAAGTCTTGCGTCTAGGGAAACTTGACTGTGGAGGTAAGGCAAGGCAGCTTCGCCCGTGACTCTGCTGAAGTGTTCTCTCTCGCTCTTCTCTGTCGGGCTTTCCACTCTCCGCGCATGCCTCAAGCGATGCCTGCCTCGGCCTAGCCGCGAGACGTTTAAGGTACTGCTGCTTGCTTGAGGTTTTCTGCGGCTTCTCAGCGACGCTTCCAAGCGGCATGACCTTTGCAGAGCGCTTTCGAATTCCCAGCACTGCTGAAGGGCTGGTATTGGCTAATGGAAAAGCCCCTCGACTTTTGACTCCATGGGCCCTCGAGACCAAGAAGAATCTGCTGTCTTATGTGGAGAGGCACACGAAATTGGATTTCCGCACGCTTGACGATGTGAGAGGCATGGAGCATTCCAGTACATACAATCCTGTCTGACACGCTTTTTCTTCTCCGCGCCTTTGCTTTATCCGCTTTTTCTAGCATTCGTCGCGGGATCGCCATTAGGTGACTCTGCGGTGTATATACCGCTGGGGGTCGCATTTGCATTTTTTGCTGTGGCCCGCGGACTCCCTGCGGCTTCATGGGCATGTAGTGTGCATGCATACTTGTACATGTGTATGTATGTGTATACCTATGCGAATAGATATATTTATATATACATACATGTACCTCGATGCATTAGAACAACAAGGGGTGCCAGGAGGGCATGCGTTGCTTCAACGGGGAAGTGCTGTTGCGTGAAACAGAGGATCCGAGGGGCGATATTGAAAAGCGAGGGCACAACCGTTTTTTGCACTTTGCTTTAGCAAGCCTGGCACATATCTTTTGCGCGCCTTATGCGGACTCTCTTCGCGGCCGTTGTAGCTAGTGAAGCACTGCTGCTGTTGTTGAGGCAGGGGACGAGCTCTTGCTTGCTGGTTTGTTTTCTTTTGCGGAACTACAGAACGGCTCTCTTGCGCGACGGTGCCTCCTCCCGGCCAGTACCCGTTGTTTAGTCCTCATGCGGCACGGCGGCATCTCAACTTCGGAGAGAAACAAGAAGCTTCAGCGGCTTTTCGGAGATGAGGATCCGTATATTAGGAAACTCAAATTTGGCGTCGTCGACACGCAGAAGCACCAGGTATATCGTAGGCTCTTTCTTGCTGCTGCGGGGGTGTGTTTTCGGTGATTTGGGGTGTGTCTTCTTCCGCGAGTCTTCTGACCTTCTCGCTTGCTGCCGACAGCAGCAGCGCTGCTAGGGGTATGCATGCATGTCTAGCTAACCGCCGCTGTAGCCGGCATTATGCGTAGTGACGAATTGGGGGTTCATGACTCTCCTGCATGTTGGTGTGGTCACCACCCCATGCGAGACGCTGTGCGCGTGCTGCTGCGACGTCTGTTCAGCTGAATCTTCACGACACCATTCCATTCGTTACAGTAGCAGACCCGACCCAAACGCAACTCGTGTGCTTCGTAAACACCACCGCACGTAAGCTGCTTACCAAGGGCCGTGCTGTCAGTGCTGCTGGCTTCGTTTTTTTGGTCTGCCGTTTGCATCCTTTGTGTCCCTCCGCGTTGGACTCCGCAATGTATTCGCAGGCGATGTTGTAGAAGAGCTCACAGCGCTCCGCAAGAAGGACGATGCAACACGGCATTCTTTTGCCGTGGCTGTCTTTGAAGGTTGGTATTATTCGCCTCTCTGTCGAGCACTGATAGCCTCGAGCATGAGATCCAGCAGCTTGTTTAATGGAACCTCCAGAGCTGCCCCCCTCATTTGCACAGAGCCTTCTGCTGCTGTGTGCAGCACCGTACCTGCGCTCATGTGTATAGACACACTTGGGGAAAGAGGTTTGGCGGGAAAGGCGCACGGGGGGGAGGTATTCGCACTGCTGCCTTCTTCAGCAGCTGCTTGGAAGTGCAGCCTTGCAAGTTTCTCTGCTTTTGCGAGCGAGCGCCCGTCCTCGACGGCGTGCAACAGAGCACCTTTTTATGTCGGTAGGGGGCTCTGCGATTTGGCTGTTATTCGCAATGCCAGTCATGCAGTCTGCTGGTTTCCTCTCGGGATTATGCTGCAGGAGGGTTTATAGGCTCGGAGGCCGTAATGGAATTTGCAAAGCGGTGTGCTGCAGCGGTTGAAGGTGCGTATGTGCAAACAGAGTTGCTTCACAAGGGAAGAGGCACTTCGCAGCTGTTTCATGGGGGACTGCGGATGGACTGACGATGCATGCGTGCAAGAGCCGACATGTTGAGATCCTATCGCTTACGATGGTGGTTCTGTGGCGTTTGCTGATTCATAGATTCCGACGGATTCGTGACTATGGAGCGGCCTCCAACCATTAACCGCGTGTAAACAAACTACCTGGAGGAGGTGTAGCAGCATCTTGGATGTCTACTGCCCGCATTGCCGCTTCACTTTCCTGGATTCTGGGTTCTTGTCTTCACTACAAGCAAGCAGTGGCAGTTGTAGCTAGGCCTCGATATTCACCATGGTGGAGGTGCGACGAGAGCTCCGGTAGCACACTCTTTCGAGGCAGTTGTGTCACGTTGCCGCTCCGTGACATTTCAACAAATCACACAGCGTTCTGTGACTAGCGTGTTAGCAAGTATTGCTGCTGATCTCAGAAGCGTGAGAACTGCTGTAGTGCCCATTTGAAGGCTGGGTATGACGATTTCTCTTCATTTTGCATAGATCGGACCGCAGTTCTTCAAGGCGTAGTGGAGAGGCATTCGCACAATGCTTTTATTTTTGTTGGCAATACTAGTCGGAGCGGCAGCGGCCGACTTCAACCAACCTCACCGCTTAAAATGATTATGAGCGCTTTTTTTGGTGTTGCAATGCTCAGCGGCAATTGTATGCCGCCTTTGGACGCATTGCAGCTCTCCAATCGCCTCTCACAAAGCAACATTTAGGGGGAGAGTTGCGTACAGGGGGGCCTCTAGGATGTAGGCCAGCTTTCTAAGTGAAGAGACGGAGAGGGAGAGCGAGGCAACTGCGAACGCACCCTGGCCATACCTAGGGTTAATAAATCCCCTTTCAAGTAGGCAGTGAAAAGGATTGGCAGATACGCAGAATTTACGGGGCGGTTTCCTTCTGTGCGGGAAGGTACCTATATGCTGGCAGCAGTGGAGTTACTGGCATGGTAGGAAGTAGTTGGCGTAGTCAGCCTCTTGGCTCTACAAAATTTGCTTAGCCCTCCGCCGATCCATGCTGCATCTTCCCAACATTTACACGAGTCGAACCTAGGCTACCACATTGACTACAAAGCCAAAACGGTGCCGAAATTCCGACTCTATACGCTTGCGGATTCTAATTAAGGCAGCCTCGACATATTCCCCACGCTCAATCATTGTCCCTAAATCCCCTTTGCATGGAAGTTTAATGGTTCAATTTCGCTTTTGAGTACGACTTGCAACAACGCAGGACTAACCAGTGCGGCTTCCCCGTCTGCGGCTCAATTCTATGTATTCCCCGCTTCCCTGCGCCGCAGACTGAGGGGGACGGGGGGTGGCTCTCTCTATTCTTCTGATATGCTTCTATGCTCCTCCAGGCAGCTTGTTTGGCCTAATCTTATTCCCTGTGTCCAAGTTTTGTGGATTTTGAATTCGCTTGCACTTCCCACAATGCGGCCTCACTGCAAACAACAGAAACAGATGCCTTGCTAGCTAGGTGGTTGTCTGAGGCTGCGTAAGAGCGTGAGCTCCCCGTGACATTCTTTTCTCGTCCTCCTTAGACTGCAGACTGGGTGTGATCACCACAGACTCCCTATTCGTAGCGTCTATAACTTGGCGTGGCCTTTCCGTTTTAAATAAGGCGGCAGGAGTTGCATTCATTCAGTCTTGAATCCATACGCTATTTATCGCTTGTGGAAGCTTTCCTTGTAGGTTGTCCAATGGCTGTGTTGCTGTGTTCTTATGATACTCTCAAGTTTTCCTAGCTGGGCGCTTACCTCGATAGTCAAGGCAAACCTTGTACACAAGTACTGTATGTTTATCAAAGGATCGGTCTATTTTCTTCCTCCGCGTTCCTCAGAATTACCATATGAGGGCAGAGGGCCAGCTAGGGTGTGCGTAGCTGCGTCGTCTAGGCATGTGAGGCATTCACAGCCAGTTGCACATAGCATCTGGCGCACTCGCACACGACAATCCTTAATTCTTGTATCCAAAACGCTACTCCACAATAAACATGATGTACGAAGAGACAAGTCAATTGGTTAGTTCTACGCAAATATTGCTTCATAACGTGTAGTCGATCTACTTGAGACTTCCACAGTGATACTAAATGATTGAGTAGTTTATTTTGTTTTTGGTGCCTCATTTAGTAAATAGCGCTGTTAGTTTTATACAATAAGGCACATTGGTGTGTGATTCCGCTAAGTGGTACGTGCAACTAGTTGTGAACGCTTGAGGTGCGTAGAGAACGCCGCTCCGCGCACCCTAGCTGCCCCACTACCCATATGTGGGGACCTCTGAGAGAAGAGAAGAAGAAAGAGGAGACGTGTGTATGCTGATTGTGGAGTAAGGTGTACACTCACGAAGATCTTTTATGAGGTACAACTCATACTGCTGGTCCAGTGAGGTGCGACTTAAAGAGATTCGCCCGATTGACCCTCCTGATATTGCATGGGCAGCACAAGATACACTGAATGTCAAACGACAGATTAGCCCTTTTCGGAGGCAAGAGCCATCATGATCTTACTACAACTCTTATTTGGCCGCGCTGGAAGAGCGCCCTGCATCAGACAATGGCATGCTCGAAGTGTATGAGGGGCAATGCGAACTCGCGCAGCCCTCTTTTCAGGCGTGCTATTGAAATCAGGTTTCGTTTGTTGCATTTTAAAAGGACGAGGTTGTGTGGTAGTACAGCAGCAGATGCCGACGATCGCTGTGAACGGCAGCCAGTGGTGCCATGCATGAAGCCCCGGCAGGGTGCTTGGATGTTAGAAGCAGGAAAATGCGCAAGTGAAGTATTATTAGAGATTCCGGACTGTTTAAAGGATTGTTGATCATCGGATTCCGAATAATAATGCGTTATTCGTAGAGTGGTGTCTGGGTGTCTGTAGAGGTACCGGATCTTTCTCAGGGAAGAAGAAAAACCCGTAGTTGCTGCATCCAGTCCCTCTGGTTTTCCCGTGTTCTGGTATATTTTGAAGACGTGGTACTCTATTGAAGCGCCAGGGGAAAGGGGCTGGCGTTCCCTTTTCTCCGCTCTCCGGCAGCTCATCCCATTTCCCGGCAAACATTCGTAGCTCTGGAGTGGATTGGGAAGTCTGCTAGGGTTTCGCCTGTCGTACTGACGCGAGCTTTGGACGTTTCGTCAAAAGTATCCTCACAATGACCACAGCGCATCGCCCGACGTGGCACACCGCTCTAGGCGGGGAGAACCAAGGAGGAAATCGCCTGGCCACGGCCACTACCAAGGTAGTTCTGCCTCTCAGTACCGTTTTGGTAGTATCCTGGCATCACATATTCTCTAGAGATTGCAGGATGCAGAGCTTCGCCATGACTCTTGGCGTGCCATGGAACCCGCATGCGGTTCCCTCTCCCTCCCCCCTTTCCGCCTCCTGGCCAGAGGGAGAAAGCTTCCCCGGGTTAGGGGCTAGGGTTTATATGTGGTTTTCTGGCATTGTGTGCTCAGAGGTCGGCTAAAGACCAGCCTGGCGAGCTGAGGCTAAAGGCTCGTTCTGCAGATCAGCTGCCGGCTACACGAGACAGGAAGATCCTTGCAGAAGAACTGTCGAGGAAGGAGGGCATCTACCAAAACCAGAAAAAAAACGCTCTCCTGTGCGTCTCCTCGGGTCAAGTTACTGCTTTCTGAACGATCGCCCTAAGACCGTGAATCGCTCATGGCTTGTAATCCTGCGCGGGTGCAACATTTCAGTCCGTCCTTTGCCCTCGTGGCTAAGCTATGAAGGGATCGTTCGTCGTCTCTTTCGCCCGCTGATCATGGCCAGTTGCACCTATTAGCTTTTGCAGTTTCATGCCATGCTTTTTTTCCTTCGTATTGATGTGCCTGACGTGTACATGGGCTTCTATGCCCTTCGGTTCCACTGGGGTTCCGAGGTGTAGCTTTTTGTGAACCTCTTCGCGTAATGCTTTTGTCATCATTTCTGGTATTCTGCTGTGCCTTTTTACAGGACGCTAACTGCGCTTCCAGGTATGCTGGCTGCTTGCGCTGCCCTTTTGGTTCTAGTTAGATCAGTGCGCTTGCCGACTGCTGCGCATGCGTAACACCCAGGCCTGCAGTAACACCCCCTTTCTGGCAGCGCTGGGTGTACAGACAGTCCCAAGTAGCGATTTCTGAGCCGTGTTGTTGGATGCACTTTTTTGTCCTTTAAGAAGTTGAGGTCCTGCGATACATTTAGTTGCGTGCTGTTGCTCGCTCATTATGATGGCGGGCGTGCTCAAGGATTTCGGAGGCATTTTGCATTTGTTTATTTTGCCGTTTCCAGAGATTGAGAATCCATTTCCAGAAGACGCAGACGATGTAGATGCCCCCGCCGCAACGCACAACGACTCAGACGGCGGTAGTGACAGCTCCGAGAGCAGCGATGATGAGGAGGGGGAGCTCCTTAGGGAATTAGAGAAGATAAAAAAGGAGCGCGCTGAGAAAGAAGCGGCTGCGGTACGACTTTTTGTGAATAGGGTGCACGCGTGCGCCTCTCTGTAAGCCACATGCATGCGTCACTCCGCAACAGGCATTTTTGTAGATGAAGGCTTTGGTGTTCGAGGCCATGTGCGGGGTTTGCCACCCGAGGCGGCCTCTTCTATTGCGTATGGCGTGTATATTCGCATCCATGAAGAAAGATAAAGCAGGGGGGGGGGGGGGGGGACGGGGGGCGGGCCGCCCCGCCGGGGGGTTTTGCCAAAAACCTGAATTGGAAGGGGGTTTTTTTCCGGGTGTGCCCGCTCTTGTTTTTGTTTGGCTGTTTTTTTGTAGGACAAGGGAGTCGTAATGGTAAGTGGGAAGGCGAAAGGTCAGACGCACAGCAACAGAGGAGGCGTTTTGTGCGCGTTTGGGTTGCAAAAAACTAATGATGAGATAGTAGTGGTGTAGCGAGAGGATGTATGTAACGGACAACGATAGGAGTGGGGTAGGTGTCTGATGAGTGAATATGTAAGAAGCCGGGGGCGAGCTGCGAGGTCGGGTGGCAGGAG